GTACAGATTCCTGGGCCCCTCTCAGAGACTGTGAATCACTGCACGTGTGGTGAGAACTAATCTTCATTTTTAACAAGAGGCTGTGGTTGATCCTGATGCATGAGGTTTATCAATTATACTATGGAAAATACTGACCTAGCATAATGTTATGCATCCAGTTAACTAATGATCACATTTACAAAAATTCATGAATTAAATGATAAACTTACATACGTACATACACACACACACACACACACACACACATGCTACCTAGGTGATGCTGATTACCAATTTTGAGAAACATGGTGAGAGCTCTAAGAGGAAGAATTATGGACTAGATGGTTAAGAAAGACTTCCTTCTCCTGTTTCCTATGATTCTTCAAAGGCTTCTCCATCACCTGGCACAGTGGTTCTCAATCTGGGGTGATTCTCTCCCCTCCCCCTCACCCCATGACATTTGGCAAGGTCTGCAAACATATTTTTTTTGTCACAACTGGGAGAGTGCTATTGGCATCTAGTGGGTAGAGGCCAGGGATGTTGATAAACATTGTACAATGCAAAGGACAGCCCCCCAAACAATTATAGAACTCCAAACTACGATAGTGTCAAATTTGAAAAATTCTGACCTGGAGCCTCCCCTCTCAAATGAAGCTACCAAAAGTACTCAGTTGTGACCCCAAAGGTAAACAGAACAGAATTTACATGTCAGCTCTTCAGCAGAATCAATTTTTTCTTCCAGACTGGTGGGGAAGAAGGAGGGAGAAAGCCTCTTTACACTGCATATAAGGCAAACAAATAAAATGTAAATGTAACATGAATAAGATTTTTTTTAATTCAAAATAATGTGAACTGAAACAACTTCGGGGTTATTTATTTACTCTCCTACTTATTTACTCTCCCCAACCTCAGGGGATATTTATTAACTCTCCTCAGCCTTTTGAAGGTACTTTTGAAGTTGAGAGACACTTGCCCCAATAAAGTACATAAACTTTAGAATGACAGGCAAAATCTCATCTTTAGCTACCTTTGCTTAGATTTTTTAGGGCTACTTCTTACTGCAGCATAGTCTAACCCAGTGCTATTTAAAATGTGGTATGTGGACCAGTGAGCCAGTCTGAACTGTTTATCGGATTACATCACAGAAGTATAGAAACTAAGAGCATAGAAATGAAAATTTTTATAGCAAAATAAATTTGTCTGTTGGGATTGAAAAAACATTCGGACTGTATTTCCCCTTCTTTAAATTCATCTTCATTTTTTAAAAAAATTGCAGTAGTTTTTGCAATAGTATCAGTCAACAATGGATTAGAAACTTTAAAAGAAACAGGAAAGAAAAGGTCCTTTGTCAGTTTGAAAAGCAGTATCCTAACTGCATCCTAACTGATACATCTAGTAAGCAATGCCAGGATTTAAACCCAGGTCTGCTTGACACCAAAGCCCATATTCTTAATCATTATACTACATTTGTCTGTTATCACTTTGAACTCAAATTCCTATATGTAATACTACCTCTGGAGAACTGGACTGCACCAGCACAAATTAAAAGGACCTTCTGTATGTCTGGCCTAAAGCCTTCAACAATGAAAGCAAACCAAGCTGCCTCCTTGGCCCCCTTCCCTCAGGCTCATGACCAAAACTCGGCTCTCTTGATTTCTGATGATGTAAATGGACAAGACAAAAAATAATAATTAATTAAATTTTTAAAATGATAATTTTATTATATATTATAAATTATATATGTATACATATACGTGTGTGTGTGTGTGTGTATGTATATTACCCCTCAAAGTCTAGAGTAGAGGCCCTAAACAATACTATCTTCTTTTGGGACCCATTCTGGTTTCTCTGGGTCTTGGAAATGATGACCTCCTCTCAAGGAGTAAGTTCCAGATCTCTCCAACCACATTTCATGTATGGAGTACAGAATAAATAAATCCAAGATAAGAAAAAGTCATACGGACTTAACAGCATTTAAAGTCTTCACTTCTCACACCTGGGTGGGTCAGCTGGTTAAGTGTCTACTTTTAGCTCAGATTGTGATCCCAGGGTCCTGGAATCAAGCCCCATGACAGGCTCCCTGCTCAGTGGGGAGTCTGCTTCTCCCTCTTCTCCCTCATGCTCATGCTCTCTGTTGCGCTCTCTCTCTCTCAAATAAATAAATAAGTAAAATCTTAATATCCTCCTTTTCAGACCAAGATCTCCACACTATACCATAATGTTTAAAGACCTCTGACTTGACCCATCCATGCTGCACATCCCCCATGTGTTTTCCTAGTTTTGACCATAATTCTTAATAAAAATGTTATAACCCAACCCAATACACAATACATACAAAACAAAACTTAACCCTGCCTAAAATTCATGCTAAGTGCAATGTACTGCTATCTTCTCTTTCTTTCCTACTTTTTAAAAATTATTACATGTCCATGAAATTGGTTTCAAAACCCACTAACAGACCTCAACCTGCAGTCTGCAAAACACTGCTGTAGAGACCAATAGTCTACATTTAACACTATGGTCTCATCTGGCAAGCGTAACCCATAATCATGCTACCTTACAATTCTACTCCTCAAACACACATTTTTTTCCTACATCCGTTTCATGGCACAATAAATTTAGTGTCATTTACAGTCCAGATTTAGTTACAAGGAAAAACACACACATTTTTAAAAAGTTAGTTTTGCCTCAAAATTCAGTAAAATACATACATGTTAAAGTTAAAATTTTTCACCCTCTAATAAAAAATTGCAGAGAGCTTATTAGCTCAGAATGTAAGACATGGTTCTCAGCTGGTAATTTAGTCATAGAACAGTACCCTACTGGCAATTCCTAGAATAGAATCTATAGTGAGTATGTGTATCATCAACAAGAAGTCTGAGGCCAACCTACTCTCCACTATCTTCACTCTGAATGGTCTATGTCACCTGACCACCCCATTACTGAGACCTTGAAAACCACAGATCTAACTCTTCCTCCTACCCAAGTTTTATGTGTGCAGTGTGTCTGTCTTGTTGACATTAACCCTCTACAATTGCTCTAACATGTCAGGAGTCTTCCCTTGTGTTAGACTAGCTCAGAAGTTCTAGCATACACTTATTTAAGATTATTTCTGTGGGAAAATGCGCAAATGCAAGCAACCAATTTTACAACAAACTTCTGAAACAATCTATTGATAACACTACCTTTCATGTAGCTGATGTACTGAAAACCTTCTCCAAATCAAAACCAGAAACCAAAAATTCTTAACCAAATTACAAAAATATCCTTTCTGTAAATTAAAATCTATTTGACATAAACACAAAATAAATTTCTATTATCAATTATGATCTTCCATTCTGCAAGCCTAAGAGGGTTTGTGATATTTTTAATAACTATATGAGGAGAACTTGGCTCCACCACATTGTCCCATCACAGAATGACACACTACTACCATACAAACCATCTATGTGGCTTCCACATTTATTTCATAGCTCCACTCAATCCTATCTCCTCTAGCCCCACCCACTGAACAGCTGGGTGGGATGAAAGACAGTTTCCTGCCTTCCCCCAGGCCCTTCACTTGCTATTTGGAGGAATAGGGGATCTGGGCAGCAGTAACTAGCTTAATAATTTTTATCCTGCTAAGACATCATCTTTCAGTCTATCAGGATTCCATAAATTTCATCTGTATCTGTACACTTAATGCCTAAAAAGTTTCTTCCTCAACTTGCTTTTATATACTTGGGAGTGGGAGACGACGACGACTGACTATACTCCTCACGTAAATACATAAAACAAGTAAAATACTTCTCAATCTAGATTATATGTTCATTTAGATTCTCAAGGGCACTCAGGAAGGTATTCTTCCATTCCATCAAAATAACAAAGCTAAAATAAATCTTAAAGTTTAACTTTAACCACAAACTCACCAGTTATTTCAGTAACTTAGCTAACACCTGGACGTTAAATATTCTTTCCCTCCACTATATTAAAAAAAAAAAAAAAGATCTGAAACAGTGCACTCTGAAAATGTAACTTAGCAAATGGAAATGCGTTAGAAAAATCTCAGTGGCTTATTTCCTACTATACACACAGTATGAAATGGAACTCAGGAGTGGAAAATGTGAATGAAATGGCCTTGTTCTTTTTCCAATACGTGGGGGAGGAAAGGAAATGAAAAGGCTTCAGAAGAGAATAACTGAAAATACTGAAATATTTTCAAAAAATTAATTTCCTTAAACATCACCAGTATTTCCAACTCGTCCCTTTTCCAGCGACCCTTCCCACCCTTTCCACTCCTCGGGAGGGGTGGGGGCGCCCTTCCCAGGCGTTCACTTTCCTCTTTTTCCTAAAAATTAAGCGCAAACCAGCTCCTTAGCCTCCGCACTCAAGCCTCGCCCGCCATCCACCGGCCTTCGGGGCCGCGCCTGGGGAAAGGAAACCCCGAGAGGCGGGGAGGCGGAGCGAAGGGGCGACGCGGCCGCCGGAGCCTCTGCAGCCGCCACCGCCTCCACCGCAGCTTCAGCCTGGTGCATCCTTCTTCCTCCCTCTCGCCGCCCCCCTCGCGGGCCGGCCCACACAGCACCCTCAGCCAAGCGCGCGCACACGTCCCCACCCTCCTCGCCAGGCCCACTCCCCACGAGGGGAACTCCGCGGCGGGTGCAGCGGCCGCCGACCGGAGGAAACAGGGCCGCGGAAGCCGGGCCGGGCGGAGACGACCCCGCTCGCTCCGCTTCCGCGGGGCGGGCGAGGCCGTTGCTCACGTCTCCCCGCTCCCCCGGCCCGTCCGCCGCGGCACAGGAAATACCGCCGCCTCTGCTCTCCTCACATTCAATTCAAACTGTCACCGCCGCTTTCTCCCCTCCCCCCGGGCCCGCCGCCACCGCGCCCGGGGCCCGCCGCCGGCCCACTCCACCTCCTTCGGCCGCAGCTCCCCACATCGTCTGAGGGCGTTCCCCCAGCTCGATCTGGCGGCCGCAGAGCCCCCTCAAGTCCGGAGCCGCCGACCTGAGTCGCAGCGGCCCAAAGCTGAGACTCACCCATGGTGCTGCTGTTGACGCTCCTCTCCTCAGCAGCAGCGGATCTCGCACTGACCGACATCCCCTCCCCCCTCCGCGACCAGCCCGGGCGCAGCGCAGCCCGCCGATTCTCCAAAGCCGCCTACGCCGGTTTCGCGGCGTAGCCGCCCGGCGTCGCTGCCCCGCTTACGCAGGCGACAGCAGGCGGACTCTTGCCCGACTACCGCTCCCTCCTCCGCCCCCGCCCCTCCAGACGAGGCTTCCGGGCCTAGCCGACGCCAGCTTCGATCTCGCGAGATTACTCCCTCCCTGCCCCGACGCCTCTCTCCATTTCGAACATGACTTCACTAGCATCAGCGCTCTTTTGCTACTCAGGCTTAGTCGCCATGTTTATATTGGCGGGATTTGGCGGTTCCAGGGTCATGGATAGTCAGGCCTCTATGTGTGTTTCTTTAACACTGCCTCTAAGGTTAAGTCACATTACGTTTGTCGGTGAAAGGCCTGGGGACGACGGGAGGGAGTGGCCGGGGGGCTATGAGGGTGGGGTTTTGCCCAAATTAAAGATGGCCTCTGTCAGTGCCGCCCCGCGCAATTTCACGTCAGGTTTTGGAGCTGCAGAAGCCGCCGGGTTGGCCTTAGCGCCTGGTTACGGATTTGGCGTAAAGCAAAGAGGCGCGGTTAGCAGAGGCCAGACTGGGAAGGTGCGCTCTGGGTGGGGTCGCGTTCCAGCCTCTGTTCCCAGCTACTGACCTGGCGGCATTGTGGGTGAAAGTGGAGAGACACTTTGAGCAGGTGTCTATGCCTCCATCCATCCTCGTGTCCTCAGCTTCCAAGACTCTTGAGGTGGAAAGTGAGATTAGTTCCCGGTTGCCCCGACATTCGCCTGGCGCTGTCACTTTTTGGTAGGCTGGCACAGCCAAGAGGTCGCCTGCTGCAGCTTACACTGCGGACTCTTCACGGTCACACTCGTGTTAACTCACCTTGTTGGTTCTCGGTTCCCTCCTGGTGGAGCTATACTCTAGTTGAGAAAATGAATGAACACAAGTGAAACTATTGGATAACAGTGAAAGAATAATTAAAGACTGAAGTGTGGTGTCATACTGTAGTAATGAATGTCGCTTGATCCTTGAGTATCCCCCACAAACGCTGGGTAGTCAAAGTAGCCTCGCTCTGCTCAGAACAACCCATGGTCTGTTATACCTTTCTTGAGAACTAATGCCTGTCTTTGCTGTATAGTTCATGCACGTTATTACCTTTCTTGTTAAACTGCATGTTAAGGAATTAAATACATTCAATATAGAATATTACATAATATATGTAATATATAAATAATTATCGTGAGTCCGTGCAAGAATATTCATAGCAGCATTACTTATATTAGTGAAATAGCTTAAATATCCACTTACAGGAGAATGGATGACTAAGTTACACTACTGGACTAACTGACATACATGGAACACTAAACGGAAATTAACGAACTAAATCTACTAATATTGATTTAGATAACGTTCATTAACATAATGTTGAGCAAAAAAAAAAAACCCTGCAAATTGCAAAAAGATGTACATGGTATATCATAAATAAAGATTTTAAAACAAAATCTGAGATCAGATTGGGAAAATCATGTAAGGAAGTGATAGATAAATTCAGAATAGTGATTCCTTCCTGAGAAGAAAAGAAGGGAATGTAATACTTGGGTACTGAATTGTAATTATTTTCTGTAGTCTATTGTATACTTGAAGTGTTTCCAAGTTGGTTTTTTTTTTTTTTATGAAGTTAATTTTATCTAAGGAAACAGCTTATTTTGAGTCTTGGGAACTACTGTTTCCTTAGTCTCTACTTGTACTGCATTGCTCATAACATCTTTTAACAACTCATCTGTCCAACCAGTCATTGTGTTAACTTTCCAAAACTTCAAAAGGGCATTTTACTTTAGGAAATTTCATTAAACTCCCACCTTGAAGAGGCAGTATAGGCAGGAATTTAAACATGTGACCTCTGAAGTCAAACTGTCTGGGTTCTAATCCCAGCTCTGCCATTTACAATGGATATACCCAAGGACAAGTTACTCAACCTTTCTGTAATCCAGGTCCCTAAGCTATAAATGGGAGTGATACTTACCTAATGGAGTTTTTGTGAAAGTTAAATGTGCCCAGTCCATAATAAATATTTAATGAATGTTACCTATATATAGCACATTTTAAAATATAAAATTATCCTGAATACTATTATTGTTTAATGTAATCTAAATAATGAAAATCCTTGCCTCCCATCTCTACTGATATATGTTTTTGAGGGGGATCTTTCAATGGAATTTTGTTATTTTGCTCTCTGAAAATGGATAAATTCTTTATAGAAATAGTAAGTTGTTTGCCCCAGGATTGTTCGTGGTCTCCCGCAAACTACACCCCACACAATAATAGCTTCACTACTTTCCACTGAAAATTATGTGGAAGGTTTCAGGAAACAAGATGATGACAACCTATAGAACTTTCTCCATAAGGAGTTCTAATAGTGTTATATAATTGTGTGTGTGTGTGTGTGTGTGTGTGTGCGCGCGCGCGCGCGTGCGCATGCATGTGTGTGTGTGAAAGAGAGAGAATGCATGTACCTGTACATATGTGTATTATAAATTTTATGTTGGGATGGAGAAAGTAAGAGAATTATTGTATTAGTTTTATAATCTCTCCTGCGCTGTCTGCGGTATCATACTTGCTACAATACTTGCTTGCCTGGTTGGCTCTCTTTTCCACAACAGCCACTTCAGATTTTCTCCATTGTTTTCAAACCAACTCCCTTATTTATTTATTTATTTATTTTTTAAAAAGATCCTATTTATTTATTTGACACAGAGAGAGAGAGATCACAAGTAGGCACAGAGGCAGGCAGAGAGAGAGGGGGAAGAAGGCTCCCTGCTGAGCAGAGAGCATGATGTGGGGTCAGATCCCAGGACCCTGGGATCATGACCTGAACCAAAGGCAGAGGCTTAACCCACTGAGCCACCCAGGTGCCCCCCCCCCAGTTATTTATTTTTTTAAAAGATTTTATTTATTTATTTGACACAGGATGCGCGAGAGACAGACAGCAGGCACAAAGCAGGGGTAATGCCAGGGAGGGGAGAACCAGGCTTCCCGCTGAGCAGGAAGCCCACTGTGGGGCACCACATGGGGCTTGATCCCAGGACCCCAGGATCATAATCTGAGCCAAAGGCAGCTGCTTAACCAACTGAGCCACCCAGGTACCCCTCCATCATTTATCATCAGCAAAAATAAAAGTAATCAGAGAGGAACTCCAACAACTTCTGCTTCCATATTCATAAGCCTACCTGCATCCACATTTATCCTTTCAAACATCACAATGAATCAGGTGTCCCCCCAAATCTGAGGCACACATTTCTACACATATCCCCTCTCTTTGTGCCTAGTCTCTGCATTCTGTCTCCTGCCTTCCCGGGAACTTTACTCAATAGATTATTTATTCAGTAAGCTTCTGGGCTCTGTCCCTACCACTCCACTGAAATTCTCAACAAGGTCACTAACAATCTCTTTGTTCAATTTAGTGGACCCTTTTTCTTTTTTTTTTCCCACAATTTTTAATAATTTTAGTTCTTGTGTAGTTAACAAAGTGTTATATTAGTTCCATGTGTACAATATAGTTATCTAACAATTCTCTACATTATTCAGTGCTGATCATGATAAGTGTACTCTTAATCTCCTTTACCTATTTCATCCAACTCCTCACTCACTACCCCTCTGGTAACCATCAGTTTGTTAAGAGTCTATTTTTCATTTTGTCTCTTTTTTCTTCATTTGTTTTGTTTCTTTAGTTCTACATATGAGTGAAATCGTATGGTGCTTGTCTTTCTCCAAATAACTTGCTTCCCTTTGCATTATACTCCATAGATCTATCCATGCTGTTGCAAGTGGCAAGATCTCATTCTTTTTTTTTAAAGGTTTTATTTATTTATTTGACAGAGATCACAAGTAGGCAGAGAAGCAGGCAGAGAGAGAAGAGGAAGCAGGCTCCCTCTGAGCAGAGAGCCCGATGTGGGGCTCGATCCCAGGACTCTGGGATCATGACCTGAGCCGAAAGCAGAGGCTTTAACACACTGAGCCACTCAGGCACCCCCAAGATCTCATTCTTTTTACGGCTGAGTAATATTCCATTGTGTATATATATACCTCATCTCTTTGTCCATTCATCTATTGATGGACACTTGGGCTGCTTCCATAACTTGGTTATTGTAAATAGTGGTGCAATAAGCATAGGGGCGCATAATTCCTTTTGAGCTAGTGTTTTCATATTCTTTAGACAGACACCCAGTAGTGGAATTACTGGATCATATCATAGTTCTATTTTTAATATTTTGAGGAAACTCCATACTCTCTACCACAGTGGCTGCACCAATTTGCATACCCACGAAAATGATGAGGGTTCCTTTTTTTAGTGGATGCTTTTACTTATTTTACTTGATGTCTCTGTAGCATTTGATACTTACCATGGCCTGCCACATTTACATCTTTTGATTTCTGAAACCCACTTACCTAGTGTTCCTTCTAGATCTCTGGCTTCTTTATTCTTCCTTCCAGGACTTCAGTCTTCTGCCTGTCACTTAAATGTCCATGCACCTCATCACTGTGTCCTGGTCAGTTTATTCCTATCTCACTTTTTATGCCATGGTGATCTCATTCATTTCCAAGGCTTCAGTGACCATATATATACTAATAACTCCTAAATATAAATTTCTAGTCCAGTTCTCTCCTTACTACAAACCTGCATACCAGACTGTCTTCAAAGTACATGACCTGATAGACATTGTATTATACTTGGCATGTAACAAATGTCCTTCTAAATTCGGGAAGTCTGCATAGTCGTCTTATGTCTTCACTGAGAAAAGAGAAAATATATGTATCCTTGAAACATGTATCCTAAATTTCTTTATAAATGCAATTTTGTTTCTAAAGGAATACATGTCCTGATATTCCAAGATATCTCAAAACAATACAGCTGTAATTAAAGTCCTCATTTTCATTATACTCACTTATATGTTCCCTATCTCTAAATGGTACCATCATCAACTCAATTGCCTAACCCAGAAATATGAGTATTATACTCAGCCCCACCATGTCTTCCTCTCATCTCCTACAACCATCAGAAAGTCCTATTTTTCCTTCTCGTATACCTCCAATCTCTCCATTTCTCTCCAT